AAATTACAGAAGATTAAAACATTCTATATTATTATTCTAGGGACAGTTCCTGAAAATTAAAAGTGGGTCTGCTTATTTCACTTCACAGACACTAAAAAAGCCCCTTTTCTAATAACCTGAGGAAGGAAATCAAAATACTGCCTTGTTAAGTCCTAATTATGTTTATTAAGTGTATACACATTCTTTCTTTGCAGGCAGGAAAATAAATCCCACCACCTGAATTACTACAAAACAATAAAAGTGGGTATCTACATTTTGCTTCTTATATATCTCCGTTTTCACCTGATGGACCTTAGATGGAATAGTGATGAAAGCATTGCCACTCACGCCTAATTCCTTTGGATGCAAGCTGCAGACGAGCAAATTCAGTAATAACTGCACACCTAAAAGTGAAAAAAACAGCACATATTACAAAGTTTAATGTGCCACAATATACAAAGAATTATCTTTCTATTGTACATGCATACAGTCCTTTCAAGAATGCATGACTTTTACAAAAGATCATTATAAAGTTCAGCGTCCTAAACTATCATTTCAGAAATTCAGAATCCTAACCCTAACCCTTACTAAACGAACATTTTCCCATATGGTTCCTTTTACATTACGATTACAGACTGTCATATTAATAAAAATTGCATTGAAAAGTGAAAAACAAAATTGTAATTGCAACTTGCTAAACCTATGCATTATGACAATATCTAAGCAAACACATTTTACTATTTGATAGCAATTGGAGCACTCCTTTAAAAAAAATACAAAGAAAAAGAAAAGTGAACATTAAGGATTCCTAAATCAGATCTTTAAGTAGGGAAAAGTTGTAGATATGCTCAAATACACAGGTAGTCCCCTTGAGGATGCCTGTGGCAATAGGTAGCAGTTCCTCCCAAGAGTTTTTAGAAAGTGAAAGGTAGACAGAACCCCTTTGCTGATGAAAAAGATCTTAAGACAAGGAAGATAGAACTCAAAGAAATATACCTTCTGAAGCTAATCATAGGAGAATATCCTTTTTTTCTCAGGTACAGATAATATTTTCAGTATAAATCCAATTCCAAATTAATTCCAACTTGCTACTCCAACTATCCTCTTCCCTTCCCCCAAAAAACAAAGGAATACTCTTCCATTATTACTTCATTCCAACTTCATTCATTCATCCAATAGTTTGTGAAGTCACCCTATTCTCTACTTACGTAAGGTCTCTGTTGAATTCTTGGACAGGGTTATAGAACACTTCATTGGCATTTGGAAAAATCACTTTTGCTTTTCCTTCTGTGATTATTTTCTCACCATTTTCTGTTGACTCATTGTCACCACTTGTACTCACTGTAGGTGATTGAGCCATATTTTGCTCTAGATTACAGCTATCTGTTGCCATGTCTTGATTCTGATTACCCTCCATGCTTTTGTTGAAAGATTGATTTCTCACTGAAATTGCAGTTAAAGTTGCTTCATTCCTATATGAAAGCAAGGTAAGCCTCAACCAAATCCTCAGACACATTTATTTGTCATCAGTTTCTTTAAAGTATTCTCTAAAAAGAAAAGAAATATAATTTTATTGCATATACTCTGAATTTCCAAACATTTATAATTCAGCACTCCTGCTCTGTATTTAGACACAGCTCCCAAAGACAGAGTATCTCATATTACATTCACCTAGTAGCACCTATTCCAGTGAAGTGTGATTTGTTTAACAGTTTAATCAAACGAATTTTCTAGGTTTGCATGACACACCAAACCATAATTTTAATCTAGACCCATGATGGCCTCTCTGCAAACATGTAAGCCATCATCCCATCTCAGTTCCCCCACACATGCGTTAGTGCCTCCTGACGGTCAGCTGGTTTTCGGGTCTCTGCCACACATGCGCAGTGGACTGCATGTGCGAGATGCACACATGTGCGGGGTGTGTGTGTGAGGTTATGTGCGTATGCACAGGGTGGGGCTCATGCAGGGGGGTCACCCGCACATGTGTTGGGGTGCACACATGGGGTTGTGATCTCCAAGGGGTTTTGTGTTCATAACATCATTAATTTGCCTCTTGAATTTAATTCTATGACCTGATATACAGATTGAGGTGGTGGGGGATGAGGGGTGAGAAAATGAGTGTACAGTGGCAAACTTTCTCACTGAACTTTATGATTTTCATACAAAATAAGAGCATGTTTTGTTTGTACCTCTTCTTTTGCAGATAAATAATCTTAAACTTAGTTTTGCAATACTATTGCTTAATTACAATTTAGATAAATACTATCAGTATTTGGTATTAGAAGCAGCAATGACCAATCAAAAATTACTGGAGGCACACCACCACCACCACCACATCTCAGAGATGTGGGCCTGGGCATTTAACTGCTACCTTTTGAGAAACAGTTTATCTTGATACCAAGAATCTTCTTAATTGTAACAGGAATAGCATACAAATAAGAGAATTGAAATGCTTTTAGCTCTATTAATTTTACACTTACTTTACAGGCAATCTGTAAGTTTCAATAACCTGTAGACTAACATTATATTCCTCCACAAGTCTTCGCATGCAACTGCAAATATACGTGGAGGTGAGGCAGCTGGAGGGCTGAAACCGGGGTTCTCGAAGGGAGGTAACACCGACCTCGAACGTTTCTGTCTTTGCTATTATCTGGATCAGGCCAAGCGTCAGGCAAAGGAATCGGAGTTGAATTATAAAATATATCCCAAGGAATCGGGGGTGGAATTAAAGAAAGTCCCACGATATGGGCTCCCCTATGGGTAGCACAACCAACCAGAACGAATGTCCACGTTCCAGCTTAAATCGCCGACGCCATGTTGAAAGTGACTGGGAAAAGATCAGCTGATCTTCTGCTAGCCAATAGAACCGGGGTAATGGACGGGTCGCCTAGAGAGTCAAAAAAGTGCCACTTTTTGCTAACGAAGCAGGTAAGAAAAGTTCAGTGTTCTCCAAATTGTTTCAAAACGTCGCCTTGAATCGGGTCTACGAGCCCATTGCAGTTAACTGCTTTATGCCTAGAAACAGTTGCGGCAAATGGCGATAAACAGCGGTATGATTATGATTAAGATTCAAGTACATTGAAGTTATGCACGAGTCTTCATTGCAGAGAATAAAATTTATTTATTGGAATTTCCTGTACATGTCGATTCAAAAACAAGCCCTTTTCCTTTCGGCATCACATTTTCTTAAGTAAATGCAACCTCTGAATAAATCTACATGCACTCAGTTTGAAATAATTCAGCGTATCATCTCTGTGAAACTCTTGCAGCAAGTTATATAAAAAGCAATAAGACCTAACAGCTTTCTGATCTATATATTTTCCAATAATTCTGATTATCTGGAAAATATCTCTATGATTGCCAAATGTTGTTCTTCTCATTTCAATTTGGGTACTGGATCAATCATTAAGTCAAATGAGCCCAAGAAAATACACTATATTGCCAAAAGTATTCGCTCACAACCGATTCTGATTATTTGGAATACTTTTGGCAATATAGTGTATATGTATATTGCAAAATCTAAACGCTTGTTTGATCAATGACCAACAAAATTTGAAAAATCAGATAGATGAGCTAACGCTGTAGCATAATACCACAACAAAGATAAAATAACATATAGAAATGTAGTATACTATAATGGTGTGTTAATTATATATCTATCTTTCACCTCAAATGAGATAGCTATAATGTATTAAACCTAAACTGATGAATAATACAGAGGTGATCATTTCTGTGACCGAGGTGATCATTTCTGTGACCAGTTATTTGCATTGAGGCAACACAGAATTTGGGTGCCCAAATGCACAAGATTTAGAATCTTCTCAAAGATGGCTCACATCAAAATTGCCTTCCTGGAAATTTACATATTAGAGGGAAAATATAAGCAGATATTATATCTCTGTAAAATTTACAATATAATAATTGTGTGTAATTCATATTTGAAGATGTTTATGAAAATGTTTTTCCTATCTTTACTCCCTTTTTACGACTCTAGTCCCTATTCAGCATAGAGTTGGGTCACCTGGATGGACCTGAGCATTTACTGCCCAGATGCCCTTCTTGATGCGTACTGAGTTTGCAGCAGATATTTTTTCTTTGCATCCTAGCAGAGAAACATCTGCTGTTACCTAGGATTGAACTCTCAACCTTCCAAGCTGACAGCAAGCTTCTTCACCACTAGGGCACCATGCCGTTGTTTTTTCCTGTCTATACTGATTTACATTGTGTTCTACTGTTCTATATAAGTATTGAATGCATGTTTCAAACTAACAATATGTTTTCAGTCACTTATTATATCTAACTAACATGAAATTTGAGGAGTCAATACTATATTAGTAACTGCACATGCTTTGCGGTGGGGGGGGGGGAGACAGGTTTCTTCCTCAGAACTCAGCCACTACTGTATGTGTGCCATAAACTAGACAACTGCTTTTCATCATAAAACATTTGATGAAGTTATGATTTGTCTGTGGTTCAACATGTTTTACAAATCCATAAAACTGAATAGAACATGATTAAAACATGAATATAGGTAAATATGTCATGTGAACACAGTAACATTCAGCTATATCAGTGATGGTTAACCTTTTACGGACCAAGTGTCCAAAGCTCCTGAACCCCCAAAATGCAATGTGCGCATGGCCCCCCACATGCGCCCCCCACATGCATATGCTCCCACACACACATGCTCCCCGCATGCATATGTGGGCCCCCTGCATGCAGCCTCTACTCCATGCATGCGTGGCAGAGATCCAAAGACCAGCTGGCTGATGGGAGGCCCGTGTGCATGCACAGCACAGCTGAACTGGGGCAACGGATCATGTGCCCAGAGAAAGGGCACTGCATGCCGCCTCTGGCACACATGCCATAGGTTCATCATCACAGAGCTAGATGGACCATTTCTGTGATTTAGTGGTTGGATTATAGCAATAGCAGTTAGACTTAGCAGCCCTCTCTAAGCAGTTTAGAGCCCTCTCTAAGCAGTTTACAGAGTCAGCATATCGCCCCCACAGTCTGGGTCCTCATTTCACCCACCTCGGAAGGATGGAAGGCTGAGTCAACCTTGAGCCGGTGAGATTTGAACCTCCGAACTGCAGATAACAGTCAGCTGAAGTGGCCTGCAGTACTGCACCCTAACCACTGCGCCACCTCGGCTCTTGCCAGAATGAATCTTATGAATCACACTCAGCCAAAATAACTCTTGCCATTTTGTTAGCAAATTGTATGAGCCTAAATGCTTTTTTTTATGTCATGATTTATGGCTTAATGTGTTGTACAAACTCAGCTGATTTCTCTATTCCTAGAAAACAATCAATATTCAAGATAGCTTTTTCTCTTGAACACAGAAAAGATAACATTGTAATAGGCTGTATTTACATAACATTCTGAACCATAAACTTCTCAACAATATTATAGTTTAGCATGTTGTGCAACCCAGTGTGGTTAGTTGATAGCTCAGTGCATGGTATAACCTCAGAACAATGGTTACATAAACTATGTTCACTAAACCATAAACAAGACTATCTTGCAAACACAGTAAACATAAATGAGCTTTCATAACTCTGATCTAACTACTTTAAAATTGCAGATTTTCAAAATGCATGTAGACCATACAAACATCTTTCTCGGCAATTACAAAATGAGAATTTCTTACACCCTGCAGCCATATCGTATACACAGATGAGGTGGGAGGCATGCGAACAAGAAAAGCACAACAAAATTCATGGAATGTCCTTCAGGCAATGAAAGCCAATGTTCTGATAGAAAACAGTGGCTCAAAAGTATAGGTGAATGGTTTAGACTTCTGATCCTCATGAAATGTGCATAAAAAGATTCCATGAATGGGAACTTTGCCTAAAAGGTATTTGAGAATATACCTGTATGTAATTAATGTAACTTTTTATGCAATATATTTGCACAGACTATTTACATGTATTGTAAAAGAGCAGAGATACAATATTTAGCCACATTCCATTCTTCCCACCCCCAGATATTCATGTATTTGTTTCAACATCAGAATAAAAGCTGTATGCATTAATATGGACATGATTCTATTTGTTATTCCATGTATGCTCCATTGCATATGTTATAGAAATATGCTTCATTACTAGAAGAGAGGATACAGAGAAATTAACAAGGATGTTTTTGAAAATTTAGAAAGTTTGGGATTCTTTTCATCATTAAGAGTGTTACTTTGAAATCTCTTAGTTTTTCAAAATAGAAAAACTATTCTCATCACTTTTAAAAGGATCAAAGCACATTAATATTTTGAAATGGACCTAGTGAAATTATGTTTTGGTTCTGCACAACTATATCATTTGAGAAGTGAAACATAAATCCAAAGTGAAAAACATTGTCAAAAACAAATTTGTCCCAGCAGATTTAAAAGCATGATTCAAAAGCCTAACAAAATTTAAAATCTTAATTTCAAGCTTGATACCTTTTTGATAAATAACATCATGTATTTCTTAAAGGTATCACAAAATGTCTATCAGCTAAAATGCCAGCATACTAAAAACAGTATGCTGATTATACTACAGAATTATTCTTCATACTCTTATAAAGGAAGAACTTCTCTCTGGCCTATCAATAGAAGTTATTTGGCCATTTAAGCTCATAAAGAATATCTGCTTAACAGGTGCAAACAGGCTTAGGGGCAGTGGTGGGTTTCAATTTTTTTTAGAACTTCTTCTGTAGGTGTGGCCTGCTTTGTGGGAGTGGCTTGCTGGCCATGTGACCAAGTGGGAGTGGCTTGGCAGTCGTGACTGGAACTCACTTAACAACATTCTTGCTTAGCAACCAAAAAGTTGGCTCAGAAACTCTGCATTTGAAGCATGCAAGTTTTAAAGCTGTCAAGTTACAAGACCCTTGCACCCCTAATCCTTTAGGGAAAAAAACCCCAGTGGTGTTCAAACTTGACAGCTTTAAGACTTGTGGACTTCAACTCCCAGAATTCCTCCTCTCAGTCTTCATCTTGATGATGTGTGGACAGGCAGGGGGAGGGAGCTGGAACCGGTTCTAAATGGCACTTAGATTTGTGGAACCTCGTCTACAGAAGAGGTTAGAACTGGCAGGAACCCACCCCTGCTTAGGGGGGTATGTGTCTTATCATGAAACTAAAAAGGAGAAGTATCCACTTTTATAAAGTAACATTTTTAACAAGAAACATTTTATAAAGCCTGCATTTTTGATAACTGCAAACTTCCTTTTAATTTTAGTCTTTTAGCCTCACGTTGAAAAAAATTAATGTAATAGATCTTTTCTTATATGAATACAGTGGTGCACAAATCACCAGCAATAATAGTGTAGTATTTAATACAGAAATTGATAATCCATGTCCCTCAACTTTCACCAGCCTTGGTAAAAGATAGCAATTCAGCAAGGCCAAATTGTGTCTGTATCTACATTTTCTCAGAGTCATGTCTAGGTCCCTACAGACAGTTCTTGGTACACATATATTAAGCCAAAACCAGATAGAGCACATTGTGATTTAACATAATGGTGAATAAATTAAGTAACTGCCTTTAGGAAAAGATCTAAAAGTATTACTGCCTTATGGTGAGCAGTATTTCAATAATACCTGTGGATAATCAAGTCATTTATTATTAATTTTAAATGGTTTCAAAGTGTGCAAATATATATTAAATGGGTTAAATTAAGCTGAAAAGCAGCAGAATTTCCTGCATCTCTAAAAAAGATTATGGTAGCATGGAATTTTTCAAAGGGGTGAAAAAAGTTACCTCGTAGAATTCCACTTTTATTAAACATATAGGAACCTAAACAATTATGTTGCACTCATTCATTTATTGTATGTTTATTGTCTCCATTTTCTAAAGCGCTCCAGGCATGAAGAATGTAATGACCACATTTTGGATTTCAAGCTAAGGTCAAGGCATTTTTTTAGTTGGTAATTGGTTAACAGAAGATAATGTTAATAATAATAATAATGCTGCATCTTAAGAAAGGTCTGAAGTTTAAGCTGCCTTTTAAAATCAGAATCAGAGAAAGAAACATTCTGTTTTGGCAACTTTAGTGACATCATTCAGTTTTTAATATACTAAACATACTTTTTTTAGTTTGGGGTTAGTGCAATATGTGAATCCACCTGTTAACAGATGGCTCCTAAAGTTATAATTGCCCTTCTCCATTTTTTGGCTACAAGTCTAGAAGAGCTAAAATTTAAAAATTGAAATTGAAAAATAAAGTGTTGTGTACATCATTTTAAATATATAGCTTGGAAAACCCAAATATTTCAGAAGGTTTGCTTCTTTTTGAACCTAAATGATATTGTTACTCCTAATATACATAACTTAATCAACATTCACAATGCTCTAACATTAGCAAAGATAAAATTTTAACCCCAAAATCCACCTTTACTTAAGGCAAGACAGGAGGGTGTCACAATAGATGAGTCTAATCTCATGAAATCTCATTTTCAAATGGGATTCTCGATTTCATTTCAAATATGGTTGAGATTAGAGGAATTGCAAAATGCAAATTTGAAACTGATAACCACCAATCTTTAATTTTCAGAACAGAACAAACTGCAGTCACAATCTGCGAAAGGCCCTTTTTACATACATCTAAAACTGTGAAACATTTTATTAGCTATTTTTCTCATTCGGACCCTTATATATGTTTTATAAGTTTTTATTACTGAAGCAAAATTACAGCCAGGTTACAGATAGTCCTCATTTTACGACCACAGCTGAGCCCAAAATTTGTATTCCTAGGCAAGACAGTTGTTAAGTGAATTTTGCCCTATTTTTTACCTTTCTTGCTACAATTGTTAAGTGAATCATTGCAGTTGATGTTAATAACATGGTTGCTAAATAAATCTGGCATCCCCATTGACTTTGGTTGTCAGGTCATATGACCCCAGGAGTCTGCAATGTTCATAAGTACATGCTAGTTGCCAAGCGCCTGAATTTTGATCACATGACCACTACTGTAAATGTGAAAAAGAAGTCATTTTTCAGTGCCATTGTAACTTCAGTCACTAAACAAATGGTTGTAAATTGACCTGTATGTAACGTTCCCGTGGTTCGCCCATGAGGCCAATGTTGAGAAAAGACAAGACACAACTTTTCTCGGGATGGAGCGACCCA